TGTCTTAACCACTATGCCAAACACCTGCCCTGGCACCATATTCACTAAACACCCAAATACAGGAGCCGGCAGCACGGCATAGCAGATTAAACCTCCACCTGTAGTGCAGTATCCCATAGGGGTGCCAGTTCAAGTCCTGGCTGTACATTTCTGATCCAACTCCCTGCTTATGGCCTGGGAAGGCAATGGAGGATGGCCCAAGCACTTGGACCCCTGAACACACATAGGAGATCTGGGAAAAGTTCCTGGCTCCTAGTTGGACTGGCACTGCCCCAGTCTTTGCAGCCATTTGCGGAGTGAAGTAATAAATGGACGCTCTCTCCCTCTGATCTGCTTTTCAAATATTTTTTCACAAAAGTTTTTAAAAATGACAAATGCACAGTCTTATACAAGGAATGAATAGGACTACATATGTCACAAAATCCACACACACATACATACACGCACATACAGATTAGTTCAGCATGCGGTTCCTTACCAAAACTAAGTATGAAGGCACTCTTAGGGGGACAGCAATGAACATCGCTCCCATAAGCAGAAAACAACACAATCATTCTTAATGAGGGGGCAGGCCACAGAAAAGACCCAGAGACCCCAAAACCCTTACTTGAAGGAACAGTCCATTCTTCACCAACTGACCTTTGATCACAGCTGGCAGCAAACTGAGAATTTCAAGTTAGTTAAGCACACAGTGCAGTTGGCATTAAGGTCAAGTGAGAACTTGGATCCTTGGCCCATGTGTGCCCACTCCTGGTGGGCATCAGCCATGGCCAACCAGGAACCACAGGGCAACCAGGGACAGCACAGCCTCCTCCCAGCCAAGAAACAAGGGTTGGCTATGGCATCCTGGGAAAAGGCCAGCACCTGGGAGGCAAGACCCTGCTCTCATTCCTGTGTCAGGCAGCCCTTTGGAAGTTGGTACAAACAAGGACCCCAGAGTGGAGGACAGGGCAGGGGGCTGTGACCACATTCCAAGTTCTGTGCCTCAACTCACTTAGAACTGCCTCTAATTGTCATGAATCTCAATTGCACAACATCAAAGGGCATTCTGCTTATTCAGGAACTCCTGTGAGCCTCTCAAAAGGAAATGTTCAACTTTCATTTTGAAAATGCCCAGGAGGAGCCATGCTGCTGTGGATCAAACCGCTGCAATGATTCCAACATCCCACGTGAGCACCAGCTGCTCCACTTCTGATTCAGCTCCTTGCTAATGTGCCCAGGAGAGCAGCAGAGGATGGTCAGGTGCTTGGGCCCCAGCCATTCAAGGAGTCAGTAAATGAAAGAAATCTTGTTAACCTTAATAAAAAATAGATCATCTTTTTAACATGTCTGAGAATGGCCCCCTACCTTAGCTTTTGAGTTTGATATCTGGCTCCAGTCCATTGCTCATGCAGACACTGGGAGGCAGCAGTAACTAGGTTCCTGCCACCCACTTGGGAGATCTGGATTGAGTTCCTACCTCCTGGCTTTGGCCTCTAGCCTTGTCCCGGACATTTTAGACATTTGGAGAGTGTGTGAATGTGTGTGTCTCTTGCTTTCTGCACGTCTCTTTGCCTCTCAAGCTTCTGTAATTCCCCAAGGTGCATTTGATGCGATGCTGCAGCCAGTCCCATTATAAAGCAGACAGTACAGGTTATCGCTGTTCGCCAATCTGGGAACCACTAGCTTCAGGAAGGAAGTAGCAAACAAAATTCACCGCCATTTGCAGCCCAGGGAACCCAAAGATGTGGAAAATGACTAGTAATTGGCGAAAGCCATTCAACAAGAAAAGCGCCCAGAATGCCAGACCAGGATTCACAAGCTTCCTCCAGGAAGGCGAGAACGAAGCCAAGCCCACAACCCAGAGAGAGAGAATGACAGCATCAGAGTGAGCTCAGGAACGCAGATACAGGACAAAACACAGATTTCAGCCAAGCCCTTGGTTCCAAGAGCAGTCAATTTTCATGGAAAACAAGTGCTCTCGGCTTCTGGTGAAGATGGGAAGAGGCTGATTAACAGCCACAAGAGGACTGGGCAGGATGGCAGGCAAGGTCACACAGGGGTGAGGTGGGAGAGAGGAACCACCATATGGGTCTGCTGGCCCCTGTGGGACCTGGTCCAGGCTGTCCTCTTCACTCTCAGAAAGAAGCAGGCCACCAGCCAATGTCCTCCATGGTGCCCTCTCTCCTCCCTGCAGGGATGCTTGGGGACTCCAGGTGAGTGATGCCACCACCCAGGGAGTGGCTGGGTCCTGCTGGAGGCAGTGGCTTCAGAAGCATTTACGGTGGCAGGGTGCCCTCCACCTGCAGCATGGGACATGCCCTTCACAGAGGCTGCCTGAGGGCATATCTGGCTCAGGAGTCCCACCAGAGCCCGGCTTCCCACAGCAGCCTCACATCTAAGCTTGCAGCCTGCTGTCCCCAGAGCTGGATAGCTGTAGGGCCCAGTTGGCACCTAGGTCTCCTAGCCATAGCCACTGCACTGAGAGCTCTTTCCATCCTGCATTTCTGGTAGTGGCTTAGCAAGAGATGGAGCTGAACACGTGAGCAAAGACACTGCAGGCAAAGGCCACAAACCCAGAGAGATGGGGCCCCTTGACCTGCCAAAGGCAGCTTCTTAAGGATACAGAAGCGGGAAAACAAAACAAAAGCAAGTGTATCCTCTTGGGGAAACTAAATCCGTGAGTCTAAATATTTCATGGGCAAAGCAAGCTGCCCCTGGCTGAGAGCATGGGGCAGGGAGGGTGGCCAGCAAATTGGATTCCAGGCGGCAGAGTGATAGGGCAGCTGCGAGAGTGGCCAAGCCGAGGCTATTTTGGGCTGCATGCTGCGGGGGCCTGTCTGCGTCACAGGCCTTGCCACCCGGCTGTGTCGAAACCACAGCTTTCTAGCGGTCAGCACAAAACACCTTGGGAGGAATATCTGGGCCCACGCAAGAGCAGAGGGGACACTGGGGACAGAGAGGTGAGCAATACAGCACTTCCTGCACGACAAAAGGCAGAGCCATGAGCGAGGTGAGCCCAGGAGCAAGTGAGCTAGGGCCAAGCAATGCCAGGCAGGCACCACCGGTTCTTGTCCCTGAGGTGCAGCAGCTCCTCCTCTGAAAGCCCCTGGACGCATCGGGCAGAGCGGCCACATTCAGAGATGTAGAGAAATCCTCGCAGATCTGAGGTTCCTCCTCCTTGGCCATGCCCACTTGCCTCACCCAACCATGTCAAGCACAGATGCTGCTTCATCTGCCACACAGCAGGATGCTGGCTCCCCAGCTACCATAGCACTTGATTCCAGCTTAGGAGAGCCAGAGGTAACACACAGAGCCCCTGCCTTCTTGCAGTGTAGGCTGAGCCAGCCTCAGCTCTGAGGGGTGTCCATGGCAGTGGGCGGGGGTGAGGGGGAATGAGAACACCAGTCCTCAGGGTTATAGTCAGCAGGAATTATGTCAGGACTGGGAGGACTCATCACCCACCAGGAGGAGCTCACCCCAGGAGCTATGGGAAGACCCTGACATGGTGGGAAGGGAGAGGTCCAGGCTACAGTACTGTACTGAGGTTTCCTTGTACATGCATATATTTTAAAAAGTTACTTAGGGGGGTCCAATATGGTAGCCTAGCGGCTAAAGTCCTTGCCTTGCAGGTGCTAGGATCCCATGTTGGCACCGGTTCCTATCCCAGCTGCCCCACTTCCCATTCAGCTCCCTGCTTGTGGCCTGGGAAAGCAGTGGAGGATGGCCCAAGACCTTGGGACCCTGTACCCGCATGGGAGACTGGGAAGAAAGTCCTAGCTCCTGGTTTTGGATTGGCTCAGCTCTGGCCATTACAGCCACTTGGGGAATGAACCAGTGGATAGAAAATCTTTCTTTCCTTCTCTCTGGATATCTACCTTTCCAATAAAATAAATAACTAAATAAATGTTTTTTTAAAATGCTGTTTAAAAAAAAAAAAACCCAAAACTGTTACTTCAGTCTAAAATATTACTTAGACCCAGCTACTACGGAACACCTCTGCGTCCCCCCATGTGATCTACCCACTGCCTGTCCCCAGCCTCTCCCGACAGCACCCCTGCTAGTGGTCCATGTATAAACTGTGAGTTACCTCTACGGGTCCAAATTATGTCATCTGCAACATGTAAGGATGTGCCCACTTCCATGGCTGCCCAGGAGGGAGCTCCCTGCTCCTGGCACAGAGGTACACTCTGGCACTGACCCTGCAGTGTTTAGTTAGGAAGGCACTGTCGCAGGCCACCACAGACAAAAGGGAATGATTCACTGCTCTTATCCTGTGCTGGACCACTGATCTTCATAATCATGGTTTCAGCCCCTAATACACAAAGAATATCCCAGATTTGGGGCAGGGGATGAGGGGAACCCATGACCTTTAACAGAGGCAGGATTTTTGGCAACGATTAAGTTGCCACTTGGTGTACCTGCCACCTACAGGGATTGCAGAGAGCCTGGGTTGAAGACTCACCTCCACTCCGAAGGTCACCTGCCTCCGATGACACTACAGGAGGCAGCAGGTGATGGCCCAAGTCCTGGAGTCCCTGTCACATACTTGGGAAGCGCAGACAGAGCTCCCAGCTTCTGACCTCAGCCTGACTCAGTCACAGCTGCTGAGGCTGTTTGGGAAACGAATCAGCAGATGAGAAAATTTCTCTTCCTTTCAAATAAATACAATTAAGACTTTTAAAAAATCCTTTTGGTCAGAATGTGCTAGACCCCATGGTACTCATAAATTGGCCCTTGTGGGGCAGTCACTAGATGATGCAGCAGTCAAGACACTGCCTAAAGCACCTGCAGCCCCTTTGAAAGCAGGTGGTTGGGTCTGGACTTACCCATTTCCTATCCACTTCCTGCTAATGCACAGCCTGGGAGTCAGCAAGGGATGGCTTAAGCACTTGGACCCTTACCACTCATGTGGGAGACCTGGCTAGAGTTCCAGGCTCCTGGCTTTGTCCTGAACCACGCCAGCCTTAACTGCTGGGGCCCTCTGAGGGATGAACTAGTGGACAAAGTAAAAAAGGCTCTGAAAACAAACACAGAAATGTTTATTTTGTCACACGGCTGCTACCTGGCCCAAGGGGAACAGCCATGTAGCCCCAGACACCCTCTTGGCATGGCCCAGGCTCCAGTAACACCCACTGGTAAGTCCCCCTGCAGCCACAGACCCAGGCTCCAGTCACACGAAGCTCTGGGCAATGGCCAGGACCTTGGAGTACTCGCCCTCCCGCTGACGCAGGCTGGAGGGAATGGGTACTTTGATCCGGGTCCCCACAGGGTTCCCGTTGTCTTCAATGAGGACCACGTTGTTGGAGTCAAACCTGGGGGTCATCTGAGGGCCAGGCATGCGATGGCCCACAATGAGCGCCTTCTTCTTCTGTCCCTTGATGGCTAACAGTATCTGGTCACCCACCTTGCCCACCCCACTCTTGTTGTAGATATGGATGCAGCGAGGAGGGCGATGGTACGGTGTGTTCCCCAGGGCACTGTTGTCCACCACACGGACCCGCGTCATCTTCTGGATTGCACTGAGGCTGCCTGTGGTGCTGGGAGGGAGAGAAGAGCCTGTGATGGGTGCAGGACTTCCCAGAGGGCAAGGCTATTGCACAAGCAGGAGCCCAGATAGAAGGCAGAGCCGCAAATGCCACAGCCATACCCAGCAGTCCGCGTGTACCAACAGCTCCTACCAGTGTGTCAAGGTCTCCATTGGAAAGCGTTTTAATGAGGACACAGCCTTTACATTGTGACAGACCCCTCAGAAGCTTGGTCTGAAAGCTGCTACTTCCCAAATGAATCCCCTAGGGTCACACCTAGTCCCAACCTGGCCTGCAAAAGCTACTTCCCCACACATCCTCATTTACACATGTGCTGGTGAGACACAGAGACATGAATTTGCTAGAAGTCTCTCGATACAATGTGGCAGAAACTAGAAACACAGCATGGTCCTGATCTTCCTTTTAGGTAGTTCTCCCTATTATCTGGAAGGGCATCCATGGAGAACAGACGAGGTATGAATAAGCAAACCAGTAACCAACACTCCAGCGATCCTAGGAACCTATTCTCACTCTCTCTGGGCAATTTCACTTACTCGTGTTGCTACCAACTAATAAATTCCAGCTCAATTCTAGCCCTGCTTTTCTACTCTCCAAGCTCCTTACAACACAGACAACTGCAAGCTGAGGAGGTCCCAGGTGACCTTGCTGCCTCGTCTGCCAGCTTCTCTGGAACCTCCAGCATCTTATCCATGACCTCTGGCCCCTCAGCTCCCTGCAGCCACTGCATCCTATCCATGGAGCTGCCTATGCTCTGGCCCTTTCCCTCGGCACCCCCAAACACCCTCCTCCATTCCGTCTCCCTCTTCTACATCCACACCATGGTTTCAGCGTCCGAACTGGGTCTCATCACACCTCCCTCTGCTGACAAAGCACACACTACAATTGACACTACTACCGTGCTCACACTTGTTCCATATTTCCCCACCATCTACACTGCTAACCGATTTACCTACCTTTGGAAGTCCCCCACCTCAGCACTCACACAGGCACCCCCTGTGTGCCCCAGTAGCTAGCAGGTACCACTGGAGTTCTCCAAGTACTTCTTGGCTCCCTTTGGGGGCTGGGCAGGAGCTACTTCCCTGTCTGCCTGGAGAGGCATGCTTTCTCTCCTGCAGCAAGCAGCTCTGGCCCCAGCCTCACCAGCACCTGTAGGCCTCCAGCTAGAATTATTTGTTTCCAGGTTAGTACCTCTGGCCAAATGTTAGAACCTTTCAGTGCTGGAAGCAATGCTCCTCTCTGTGCAATCAGCCCAGGTATGGATGGGGCTCTGGAGACAGGAGGGATAGGGGCACAGATATGTGGCAGGGGGAAGGTGGAAGCCATGTCTGCCAAGGAGTATGCCCCCCACAATGGGGGTTCATATATGTCTACCAAGCTTAAATTTCTGGTAATATGCAGGTATATGAATTTTGTTTTGCAACTAAAAACTTTTTTTTTTTCCTGTTCTTAAGTGTATGTTCAGCACATGGAGGGGATGACTAGGTTGAGAGATCAGACTGCATCTTACAAGGAATGCAGAGCAGTAGCTTCCACCCTAGGCCATTTCCCTGGCCCGCCCCAACAGCAACACCACCTCCTCACCTCTCCCCCCCTGCCCTCCTCCTTCAGCATCCCCGCCCCTGTGCTCATCTCTGTGGGATGCCACTCCCAGCCCTGGTTGAGGCTGACTCAAAGACCCAGTTCTGGGGAGTCAGTGGGACAAGTTACCTGAAACAGCGCTGGCTCAGGGCTCGGTTGACACAGCCAAAGGGCCACAGCCCAAGGGAGAAAGCCATGGATCCCAAGGTGGCAAATCCTGCAGGAAAAAGGGAGGGACGGAATTGACTCCCAAGCCAGAGCCCTTACTCAGAGCTGGCTTTCCCCAGGGACTTGTGTGGGAGGTGGCACTTCCAGCACAAGATCATTAGTCACTCAATACAAATCTCAGCAGTTAAGTGACACAGAGGATGAGACGGAATTCAGTTCCGATTCTGCTGATTCATGTTCTGAGGCTGGGGTCAGGCAGCCAGAGTTGGCCCATGACAGTTCTTGCTGTTGGTGACACAACAGCACACAGAATGTCTTCCACAGAGTGTGACCCCTCAGCAGGCACACACCCAGCCAGCAACTCCTTCCCAAGTCCTCCTGGAGGTCCCACCAGTGTGCCTCCTGCAACCCCTAAAAGACAGCTGGTTACTAAAGCAGCCACCCAGGCTATCTTACTACATCCCCTCACCCCTAGGAGTGAAGGCTAGCAAAACAGAGCTGAAGGCTGCCCCTGCCTGGTCAGTGCCATAAGTTGTCCCAGGCCAGTCTCCCAAACAGCACTGCACCATAGAAAACTTCCTCCTTCACATTCCAGCTGCAGGTGGGCTTTGGGAAGCGAGATGGAGTTGGCAGGGCCGACAGCCCAACACTGGCTGCTCCAGCTGGCAGCAGCTCAACCCTGTCCTCCTGGGCACCGACAAATACAGAAGGTGCCAGGGCCCTGCCACTTGAGCCCCACTGCAAGGCATGGCTAGGAACTGCCCACAGCCATGGTTCCAGCCACCAAGCACCCTGTCCCGCCACCAGGAAGGCAGACTCCAAGAGCCCTGTCAAGAGAGGCCTCTACACTGTAGTATTGACACATGACTTTGCTTCATGCAAGTTCAAAGCACCGCAGGTACAATTTAACAGGGGTGAGGAGAAAGTCCACTATTTACTTGTACAGAAAGACCTAACACACCACTCCATAAATGCTTAATTAACTACAAGTTAGCTTCAAATCCCAAACTTACTCGCAAGTGTTTTCCATGAAGCACTGGCTAAAATATAGCTATGATCTGAAATATTAAACATAAAACAAGACGGCCACTTCTCAACTCCTCAGGTGAGGAAGCCAGCTTCACTTTCTTTGGCTAAGTGACCCTGGACCAAGGACAAAGCTGCTGAATTTGCAATAGTGTCTCTACAACCCGGGGATACTGAGGGCGCCTGCTGGCTGGGGCCGAGGCCAGCTACACAAAGCAATGAGCACAGTGCCTGGCTCTCCACACCTAGCTGTGATCCTTCCTCGTCTTCATGCCACGTCTCCTTTCACAGAGCAGGACACCGAGAGACAGACTGACCAGGTAACTCATGCAGCGCCCAGCAGGCAGTCAGGGACACAATCAGAGCTAGAAGAGGACCCAGCCTCAGTCCGAGCAGCCGTCACTTCATGCTGCAGCCTCACTCCGCTCCGTCAGGCTCACTGCACACAAAGGACTCCCTGGGGCGGGGTGGAGAGGGGGCAGCCAGCTTTCAGAATTATCTGGGCTCCTAATTTTTCTGGATCATTTGTCAAATGAATAACTACAGTATTTTCCACAACCATTGCATTAAAAGCTCACAAAAACCCTGAGGTGGATACTGTTGCTAGTGTCCCTGCTATACACAGGGCAACAAAACCCAGAGAGGTAACTGCCTTGGCTAAGTTCACACAGCCACGCTGAACTCTGAACCTCAACAGTTAGCTTCCGGAACCCATACTCTTATGCAACTGAGTACACACAGCCACCTGCCTTTCACTGTTAGCATATTCCAACTGTCATATTACTCTTGCTCTGTTGAGAATAGGGATACCTCACGTGCATTTTCCAAGACAAAACAGGACAAAACAGCACTGTAGCTCTGAACAAGTGCCAAGGATCACTTCCATGTAGCTCCTTCACAGCTCTGACTCTGCCCGCCAGCCCCAAATCCAAAGGACTCAGACATCAAATGGGTAATAGTGAGTCGTTCCATGAACTCAGAAGCACAGAACAGTCACTTCTCAGGTACAGCTGTCCCCGAGTTTCCACACAAGGTCCAGGTGACCTCTCAGATAGCTACACCTCAGATGTACACATCCCCCATAAAAAACAGCACATGATCTGCACCTTACCTAGATTCAAACCACATCGAGATCGCTTTGAACACCTAATGCAGCGTAAATGCTCTGTGGAATGGTTATTACACAGAATTCTTTAAGGAATGATGACAAGAGGGAAAAGGCTGTTCAGCACAGATCTTTAAAAAATATTTTCAGGGCCTGGCATGGTAGCCTAGCAGCTAAAGTCCTAGCCTTGCACACACCAGGATCCCATATGGGCACCAGTTCTAATCCCACCAGCTCCACTTCCCACTCAGCTCCCTGCCTGTGGCCTGGGAAAGCAGACGAGGACAGCCCAAGGCCTTGAGACACTGCACTCATGTGGAAGACCCCAAAGAAGCTCCTGGATTTGAATCAGCTCAGCTCAGGCTACTGCAGCCACTTGGGGAGTGAATCAGCAAGTGGAAGAACTTTCTGTCTCTCCTCCTCTCTGTATATCTAACTTTACAATAAAAAATAAATACAGGGCCCGGCGCGGTGGCGCAGTGGTTAAGGTCCTCGCCTTGCACACCCGGGATCCCATATGGGCACCGATTCTAATCCCGGCAGCCCCGCTTCCCTTCCAGCTCCCTGCCTGTGGCCTGGGAAAGCAGTCGAGGACAGCCCAAAGCTTTGGACCCTGCACCCGCGTGGGAGACCCTGAAGAGTCTCCTGGCTTCGGATCGGCATAGCATCGACCATTGCGCTCACTTGGGGAGTGAATCATCGGACGGAAGCTCTTCCTCTCTGTCTCTCCTCTCTGTATATCCGCCTTTCCAATGAAAAAAATAATAAAAATAAATCTTTAAATAAATAAATACAATAAAAAGTTCAAACTTTCCATGGGTTTCAGACCTGTGGGTTCAAGCAACGGTGGACTGAAACTATTTGAGAAGAGGGGCCAGCACTGTGGTACAGCAAGTTAAGTTACTGCCTGCGACACCAGCATCCCATTAAGATCACCAGTTGGAATCCTGGTTGCTCTGCTTCAGATCCAGTCCCCTGCTAATGCACCTCACAGGCAGAAAACAGGCCAAGTCTTTGGGCCGCTGACAGCCAAGTGGGAGACCCAGATGTGGTCCCTGGTTCCTGGCTTCAGCCTGGCCCAGCATTTCCCTCTCTAACTCTGCTCCTCAGATAAATACTTGGGAGCTGAGGGGAAATGCTCCCTCCATTTCCATCCCAGCAGGTCCTGGTAAAGAGGAGTGCAAATCAACATCTGTCAGATGAAATAAATGAGGGAAATACAAAATCCTGACCCTTACCCATGGTTCCACACAAGGGCTGCAGCCTGCAGGGTTGTCAGCACAGCGCAGGATGTGGGACACAGCCCAGTTAGGCCCAAGGTCACAGAAGAGCCCAGGCCTCCCTAACAGGCCCCTGGAATCTCAGCTCACCCTGAGAAAACAGCCATCCCAACACCAGGTAACTGCTTTGAGTCAGCAAAAGAGCCAGCGATTTCCTTCACAGCAATCGTGATGGACCCCACGGTCGGTCTGAGTAACACAGCCCCGCAGACCCAGGCCATGCCCCCCAGACCTACGATGCTTTGCCTTGGACACAGTCTCCTCTACAACCCCAGCCTTCAGACATGGCCAGGAAGCGCTACAGGCCCACGGTGGCTTTCAGTTTGTTCCCAATTGTTACCGAGTACCAACCTCCAATTTTATTTTACTTATTTTTAAAGATTTATTTATTTGAAAAAAGCAGAATTGTGGCCTAGTGGCTAAAGTTCTCACCTTGAACACGCCTCGGGATCCCATATGGGCGCCAGTTCTAATCCCGGCAACTCCACTTCCCATCCAGCTCCCTGCTTGTGGCCTGGGAAAGCAGTCAAGGACGGCCCAAAGCTTTGGGACCCTGCACCTGTGTGGGAGACCTGGAAGGAAGTTCCTGGATCCTGGCTTTGGACTAGCACAGCACCGGCTGTTGCGGTCACTTGGGGAGTGAATCAGCAGACAGAAGATCTTTCTCTCTGTCTCTCCTCCTCTCTGTATATCTGACTTTCCAATAAAAATAAAATACACCTTTTTTAAAAAATAAAAAATGAAAAAGCAGAATTAAGAGTTACAAGGAGAGCAAAAACAAGACAGAGCTACCATCTGCTTATTCACTACTCAAAGGCGACATAGCCAAAGTTGGGCCAGTCTAAAGTCAAGAGTCTGGGCCCGGCAGCGTGGCCTAGTGGCTAAAGTTCTCGCGTTGAATGCCCAGGGATCCCATATGGGTGCTGGTCCTAATCCCAGCAGCTCCACTTCCCTTCCAGCTCCCTGCCTGTGGCCTGGGAAAGCAGTCGAGGACAGCCCAAAGCTTTGGGACCCTGCACCCGCTTGGGAAACCCAGAAGAGGCTCCTGGCTTCAGATCGGCATAGCATCGACCGTTACGCTCACTTGGGGAGTGAATCATCGGACGGAAGCTCTTCCTCTCTGTCTCTCCTCTTCGTTGCATATCTGACTTTGTAATAATAAATAAATAAATCCTAAATAAATAAATAAACAAATACAGTCAAGAGTCTGAAGCTTTTTCTGGGTCTCCAATGTGGGTGCAGGGGTCCAAGGACTTGGGACATCTTTTGCTGCTTTCCCAAGCACATTAGCAGGGAACTGGATTGAAAATAGAGCAGCTGGGCCTGGTGCAGTAGCCTTGCAGCTAAAGTCCTCGCCTTGCATACACCCAGGATCCCATATGGCCACCAATTCTAATACTAGAGGCCCCACTTCCCATCCAGCTCCCTGCTTGTGGCCTGGGAAAGCAGTCAAGGATGGCTCAAAGCCTTGGGACCCTGCACCCATGTGGGAGACCCACAAGAGGCTCATGTCTCCTGATCAGCTCAGCTTTGGCTGTTGGGGACACTTGGGAAGTGAATCATCAGATGGAAGAACTTCCTCTCTGTCTCTCCTTTCTGTGCATCTGACTTTGTAATAAAAATAAATAAATCTGGGCCCGGCGCCATCACCTAGCAGCTAACGTCCTCACTTTGAACGTGCCAGGATCCCATATGGGCGCCGGTTCTAATCCATTTCCCATCCAGCTCCCTGCTTGTGACCTGGGAAAGCAGTCGAGGACAACCCAAAGGCTTGGAACTCTGCACCTGTGTGGGAGACCTGGAAGAAGTTCCTGGATCCTGGCTTTGGATTGGCACAGCACCAGCTGTTGTACTCACTTGGGGAGTGAATCAGC